TACTGATGGGCCATTAAGGTTATTTCTAAGCTTGGAAGCGTCCATGGAAAAACAGTAAAAAACACAACCATGCCGCTACGTTTATCAAAAGGAAAGAACAGAGCAAAGAAGGCATTGGGCTGAGAGAAGAAAAAGTTCACCTAGCAACACTTGCCCTAAGCGCTAATTGCCTTCATTCGCCGCAGGAGGACAAGAGTCTGCTCCACCAATATGCCTGTTTTTCTAAAGTATTGATCCACACGTTCCCTGTAGGGCTGTTTGCACTTTCTACCAGACAAGTGTCAGCTAAATATGGAAGAGCGAACACCTAGGGCCCACAATGAAACGAAATGCTGCTTAGAAGGGAAATATCAGAAGCAGCTAAGAAAAGCTACATAGCGAGTTAAGTGGGTTTCTGAAAGACTGAGAAGAAGCAGAGGAGGTAGAGAAAGGGACACTTAAAAAGAACACAACTGCCGTTTGAAAAATCAATATGTGTCACCACCACACACAGAGCCTTCGTCCGCCTACCAGGGATGCGGCGGCAGCCTTCGACAGAGCAGGGAAAGAGGCAGACAGGGAGGCGAGGTGAATGGGTACACCTAGGCAGTTATCACAACGGCTAATCCTCTCTGCACGAACTTCCAACTACAACCTTAGCAGAGCCCCCGTGGAAATATACGCTTGCCTTCCCGAATAGAAGCATCACTTGCTTCTTAAAGAACTGTCCAATGAGTTGTTCAGCCTATACAGCTTGCTCCTGTGTAAGATGCACTTTCTATATTGTCACAAAAATCATACAAATCGGCCATTAGCAGAAGTGGGGATTAGGTCTGCAATCCAGTACATGGGGTAACCCCAGGGAGGTGAGGAGTGCAGCTCTCTATGCATTTCTGTTTGGCCCTTGTGACTCTCCCCTTTGCCTCTGACTGTTTCTGCCTGGCTGGAATTTGTCCTTGAAAAAGAAGAAGGAGGAGGAGGAGGAGGAGGAGGAGGAGGAGGAGAGGCATAGTGTTTTAGACCACAGTGCCACCCACGCCCCTGCTCTGAATAAAATGTAGGGCTTATCCACAGTGCCTCTTGTCCCATGGCTGTTCCCTAGGGAAAACTGCTCTTTAGTGCCCAATTGGAGCAAACAGCAATTTGAAGAAGAGGAGAAAAGTTTGGATTTGATATCCCACTTTATCACTACCCAAAGGAGTCTCAAAGCGGCTAACAGTCTCCTTTCCCTTCTTCCCCCACAACAAACACTCTGTGAGGTGAGTGAGGCTGAGAGACTTCAGAGAAGTGTGACTAGCCCAAGGTCACCCAGCAACTGCATGTGGAGGAGCGGGGACGCAAACCTGGTTCCCCAGATTACGAGTCTACCGCTCTTAACCACTACACCACACTGGCACTTGAACTCTGATAATGCTCCTTGTTTGTCTTGACAGAGGGCAGAGAGGGCTGTGTGACCGCATGTGGACACCAGCCTACTGCACAGAACTAAAATTCACATTCATGACCCTGCCCACCATTGACACGTGGCTCTCAGATGGTTGCCCAGAAGGGAATGTGGCCCTCTGCCTGGAAAAGGGTTCCCTGCCCTTGCAAACTGGACAGAACAACATAGACACCGCAGGTAGCCCTGTTCTTAAAAGGAGAAATGGTGGCTTTATTTGCTTTTATGCAACTGCTGTGTTCTGTCTTGTCTTTCCATTCACAGAAGGGCTTTTGATCCAGTGGAGGCTTCCATGAATGGAAGTGAGGTGACAGTTTGCATGGAGACCTCCTTTCCCTCTGCAACCTCCTGTGTTCCAGAGGACATGGGGACTCTCCAGAGCAGATGGGGGAACCAGTAATTTCCTCAGAAACATGTATTTCTGTGAATAGAAGTGGGCTTCTGCCTTTTTCATATGGTACACACAGACAACAAAAAGAACAGTCTCCATGAAAAAAAATATTAGCTATGCTCTATGGTTCCTGGTGCAGTTATCAAACCTCCCCTCAGGCATTTGCTTGTAGTATTTACATTTTTTACTAAATTATCAAGTGAAAATCCAATTGTTCTTAATGACATTCACTCTGTGTGTCTCCCATTCTCATATATGAGAAAGGGTTTATTATCCATTTGGAGTAATTAAAGTGCTGATGTTATATGGATCCGTAAAAACAACTTCATTGAAGCTACCAAAGTGGCTTTTATCAAAACTGCAGCTGGAAAATATATATATATGCGTCAAATTCAAAGGAGGAGTTAAAGGTGGTTTAAAATAGCAACGTGCGGATCCAAAACGTTCTTGAGCTTGACTGATGTGTTATTAAACTACACAAAGTACTGTGCACGACAGGGGTGGGGAACTTGTTACCTGCCAGATGTTGTTGGACTTCCAGTGCCCATCAGCCCCAGCCAGCACATCTAATGGGGATGAGAGCAGTTGACTTCTAGCAACATCTGGAGGTCGCCAACCTTGTCCCCAACCAGGTGTACAGTTAAAGATGCTGTACATAGCTGTTTAAAGGTGCTGACCTTTAAAGCCCTAAACGGCCTCAGCCCAGTATACCTGAAGGAGCGTCTCCACCCCCATCGTTCTGCCTGGACGCTGAGATCCAGCACTGAGGGCCTTCTGGCGGTTCCCTCATTGCGAGAAGTGAGGCTACAGGGAACCAGACAGAGGGCCTTCTCGGTAGTGGCGCCCGCCCTGTGGAACTCCCTCCCATCAGATGTCAAAGAGATAAACAACTACCTGACATTCAGAAGACATCTGAAGGCAGCCCTGTTCAGGGAAGTTTTTAATATTTAACGCTGTACTGTTTTTAACACTTGATTGGGAGCCGCCCAGAGTGGCTGGGGAAACTCAGCCAGATGGGTGGGGTATAAATAATAAATTATTATTATTATTATTCCTTTTTCTCTACCAAATAACAATACATGAAACACTATAGAATGAAAATGCAAATTAAGATGTAAGAGTGAGTCTTTCTCCAAGAGAGAAACTTAAAACTAGATGACTGTAGTTTGGATGGTATGCAGGTCCATTTTGTGACCCTTGTCTTTCTCTCGCCTGCATCGCAGAAGCCCTTTTCAGATCTTCAGGTTCCATGTAGATTCAGTGTGTGGAAAGAGGCAGCATTGCACCAGCTGTTCCTGGCCTCAGTCTCTGCATCCAGCCAGAAAAATCAAGATCACCCAGAGTCTTGTATGCACGGGACGTGTGTGGCATCATCCCACCCCATTTCTGTGAATTTATTCCACATGGAACTTTATTTTAAATGATCTGTAAATTGCTTTGCATTAAAAATACCCTAATGGCATGCAAAAAGTGAAAACAACAGTGGATAGCTCAGTCGGTAGAGCATGAGACTCTTAATTTCATGGTCATGGGTTCGAGCCCCATGTTGGGCAAGAGATTCCTGCATTGCAGGAGTTTGGACTAGATGATCCTTGTGGTCCTTTCCAACTCAACAATCCTGTGATTCTATATCATAAAAATAAAAATCAAATGCCACAATAACAAAAGAAAGTTTTGCAGATTCATAGTGACAAGCAGTGACGAACAACAGCAATGAAAACTAAGCCTGGATGGGGGGGGGAATGTTTTTAGCATGCACCAGAAACACTGTGGGTGCATGCCTTATTTTCAGGGGAAGATTCTTCCAAAAAGCAAGTGCCACCACACATAAGGCCCTGCTCTGGGAAGCAACAAGATGAAAGAAAGGTAAGACTGTGTGGCGGAACCAGGAGGAGGTCATTAGATGTTCACAGGCCAGAATGTAGGAGGAGAGGAACAAATATTGTTGTCTAAAGCTGTTTATACACTAATGGTAAAGCCTGAAAGGTGTGAATGGAGCTAGGGCTGCTGTGAGGCAATTATCAATGAAAGCTTCAGCATGTTTCTGTATATGCTGGAAGCCGTCCAGAGTGACTGGGGCGACCCAGTCAGATGGGCGGGGTCTTCTTCTTCTTCTTCTTCTTCTTCTTCCCCCTTCTGGTTGCAGAGAGGGAGAGGAGAGAGAGACCACTCAGGGACACCAAGAGAAAAGACAGAAGTAAATACATCCAGCATAATTTTTTGTTTGAATTGCAACAAAAATGCTTCCCTGTACAGTGGTACCTCAGGTTACAGACGCTTCAGGTTACAGACATTTCAGGTTACAGACTCTGCTAACCCAGAAATAGTACCTCAGGTTAAGAACTTTGCTTCAGGATGAGAACAGAAATCACGCCACGGCAGCATAGTAGTAGCAGGAGGCCCCATTAGCTAAAGTGGTACCTCAGGTTAAGAACAGTTTCAGGTTAAGAACAGAACTCCCGGATGAATTAAGTTCTTAACCCGAGGTACCACTGTAGTTGATGTCACAGTGCGGTTTGAGCTAATAAAAATATTAAAGTGGACCTCAGAGATATTTCAGTTTTGCACTCCCGAGTCAAATCAAGATCTGTCAAAATCAGCAACTCAACTATTTCCTCATTGACTTACAGTGTGACTTACGGCACAATTATGTATATATAAAAAAACCCTGACAAACAGATAGATCTCGTCAGAGCCAGCTTGTAAACCCTAATGCTGTATTAATTTGGTATGTTTATAGATCGTATATAAATTCTAAATTAAGGAGCTTTGTCCATTCTGCTCTCTGTTTCAATGGGACCAAGTTGCACCATATGCTTGTTTACCAAGATCTGCTCCCAACCCCCACAGCCACCATCTCAATTTATTTTTGCCTTGGCTATGGAACAATATCCGATGTTTAATGGAGAATTTCATGGTGCATATTACACTGCCCAAATTGCGTCGCTAATTATCTCCTTAATTTATATGAAGTTTTGCTTCTATAAAGCAAATTATTTGCATATACATTAGTCACAGCATGCATTTATACAGGACTGCTGAAAGTAGCACACATTAGCTCCCAATAATGGCCGGTCCAAAGGGAGAAGCGGGTGGGGGATGCCTCTATTATCGCTTTTTACAGCATCTTGCGCAAATGGGTCCCTCCTCATCCTTTGAGTGGAAAGAGAACTAAAGTAATAGACTTACCCCTTTTTATGTCCTTTGTTGTTCTGCAGGATGCAGTTGGCTCATCGTTTGCAGCATCTTCAACCTTCCCAATGAATACATTATATTTTTTCACCATCCAAAGCTATTTTTTTACAGGCAGGTCTTCACAGCAGAAGGGAACCATTCCATACTTGTCCGTAGGCTGAGGTTTAAAGTGTCCTCAGAACAGGCCTGTGAAGGGAAAGCTTTCCAGTGATACCAGTAAAAAAAAATAATCTCACTGACTTCAGACAGATCATTTGCTGTAAATGGCAAAACTGAATTTATTTTGACCAGTCAGATGTAGCTCAACTGGATATACACAGAAGTAGAGGGCCTGTTTAAAACCTTTTGTAGATAGCCATGGAAAAATGTACCGTGTGAAGTGGTCCTTGGGTTAGATTGCCCCTGCTCTCCTCTGAGGGTCTCATTATGGGAAAGGGAACCTTTTCAGCTCAAGGGCCACATCAGTGGCATGCGGTGATTTTTTTTGTAGGGGAACAGTTAGGGTCAGAGGCGCCAGCTTGCAAGGGCGATCGGGGAGAGACATCATGTGTGTAAGCCTTGTTCCTCTCCCCGTAAGCTGAGCAGAAGTTTCCCGGGCTTTGGGAAGAAGGTGCCAGGCTTTAATACTTGAATACTCCAATTTACCAGGAACATTTAGGGAACTAGCCTAGTCTCCCTAGGCCAGGCTTCCTCAAACTCAGCCCTCCAGATGTTTTTGGCCTACAACCCCCATGATCCCTAGCTAGCAGGACCAGTGGTCAGAGATGATGGGAATTGTAGTCTCAAAACATCTGGAGGGCCGAGTTTGAGGAAGCCTGCCCTAGTCCATTGACTGCACTGGGCCCCATCTATTCCCAGAAAACCTATTGAGGGGCACAAGCCAACGGTGGCTGGGACCAGAGGCAGAAGTGGCAGAGCTACACATGTACATTTTACCAGGAGGCATTATTAGAGTTCAAGGTCACAATCCAGCCGGGCAACAACACTCAAGGAGAATGCAAAGCAGGCTGGTGAGGGTTGTGGCCAAGGAAGGGATGTGATGGTCTTTGGGGACAGATAGAGAGGCCCTGTTCTAACAAAAAATAGCAAGAAACAACGAACAGAGCCATCGTTCCATGTATCTTGGATAAAGCCCAAGACATCTATTTCCTGGGACAGCCCCCCCTGGTATGCTGCTGCCTTCACTGCCAGTCCTGCTGCCGCCGGCAGAGAAGCGATGATGATTTTGTGTGAGATCTCGCTGATTTCAGGGAGATCTCATACACTCCACAAGATCTTATGCAATTTTGTCAAGCTCTTTCTTGAAACTGGCACTGATGCAGGCAGCAGAGGGGTGCCACGGGGATGCTATCTTACACTGCCTAATGGCTCGGCTGGCCCTGCTCTGTCCTCCACCATGTGACCTCAAATCACATTGCATTGTGTCAACCCCAGCCTTCTGATGTCATTGGCTGCATCATACACAGTGCAATTGAATTATGTTACATCATTGTGGCGTTTGCCCTCCTATGTGTGTGACATCATACTGGGTTCATAGGGAAAGGGTTAACTAATTGTAAAATGACTAATCAATGGGAACACAGGGGGCAGAGTTAACTGTGTATATGTTTTAAGCATAGAGGTTTCTAGTGAGTTAGAGTTGTTGAGAAGACAGTCTGGAGTTAGGAGAGGCAGAGAAGATAAGTCTGAGGGTTGGGCTAGTCTGGTGTGAGAGAGGGAGAGAAGTTGTTAAGAGGAGTCAGTCAAACAGTTGAGATAATCAGTCAGAAGGTATTAGGAAGGTACAGGCCGGTAAAGAAACTAAAGTTAAGATACTGACAGGAATATTATCTGAGAAATCATAAACTTGTTAATGTTTGTAAAATAAACTTGTTTTTTTGGTTCACTTTTAACAACTGACTAGACTCAGTGTTTTACCAGAGTACAGTGGTGCCTCACAAGACGAAATTAATTCGTTCCGCGAGTTTTGTCGTCTTGCGATTTTTTCGTCTTGCGAAGCACAGTGTCGGGAAAGTTTTGGAAAAGCTTCAAAAATCACCAAAGTCTTTAAAAACCTCAAAAAGGCTACCACACCGCGTTTCTATGAGTTGCTCTCGAAGTCAAGTCGCAACTGTATTAACGGTGTTAAGAAAAGGAAACAAACTTGCAAGACGTTTCCGTCTTGCGAAGCAAGCCCATAGGGAAAATCGTCTTGCGAAGCAGCTCAAAAAACAAAAAACCCTTTCGTCTAGCGAGTTTTTCATCTTGCGAGGCATTCGTCTTGCGGGGCACCACTGTAACTGGTTGGTGGCAGCGGGGAAGCGAGCACAGTGGTGGCACAGAGATCAATAGACCATTAAACGTCCGGGGACCCTGTGTGATCGCCACAATCGTGCATTCAACCCAGCTAAGGGTTTTAATGAAACAGCATTACAGATCAGCCAGAGCTCTGTGTCTCAGAGGGAAGGAGAGATAGAAGCCTAGTAGAAGGGACCTTTCCATCACAGCTGATAGGATGTTAAGCAAACAATGAAAAACAATCAGATGTGGGGGAAAGCAACCTGCCTGTAGCCTATGAAAAATTCAAAATTCTGGGCTATTCCCCTTTCTCTCCCCTGCAATCTATACATTATTCTGGGGGGGGGGGACCCCTCCTCTAGCACAGCATCAGGTGTGTGCTCTTTTTCATCCTTTCTGCGTTTTGCCTCCTGATGCATCTTCAGGAAGAGGAGAGGGGAGGAAAAAATAAAATGAAACCTTCTTGTTCTTAAGCCAGAAATAAAAACCACACCTGCTTTTTTGCCTGAAATGCTCAGCATGGAATTGCTGGTAACACTACTTAGGAGCATAACTGCTCGAATTATTTGCTATAATGGCACTGCTTTATGGTTCCCAGCAGAATTGGAAATGCTGAATCTTGCAGTCTTCCCAAGGAAGGATATGCTGGGACGGTGCTTATGTAAAAATTCGCCGTGCTTTGGCCACCAAGGGAATAAGTCCCCTCCTGTGATAATGCAAAGCATAAAACATGTCAGATTTTTAAGACTGCAAAATAAAACCTGTGTGAATAAATGATTATTTATATAAAAATGCACAGTCAGAACATCTGCTGCATGAAGACCCATGAAATTTAACCCTTTCACTGCACCTGCTATCTGTATTCCTTTCCTGATCAGCCATGTTTGTAGATTGATCTGATCTGGGTCCACTGCACTTTAAGGAAGAAACTTCAGTCATACACCAGAAGTTCCATGGTCTGCAACACCTAGAATCATAGAATCATAGAATCATAGAGTTGGAAGAGACCACAAGGGCCATCGAGTCCAACCCCCTGCCAAGCGGCGCTCATGCTGCTTCCGGAGTCTGAACAATTCCTCCGCTTTCAGGAACAGCATTTCGGGATGGTGAACCTCAACAGCAGCGACTGGCAGAAGGTCACCCAGTAGCAGCCGCACACCCAATAACACAAGGGTTATTCAATAACACACCCACATTTGGATTGCCCCCTCTCCATCTCTTTCCTCACACCCTTTGGAGAACACATAATCTGACTGGCCACTTATTTGCCTCATAGACATTATAATAGATCTGTGGTGCTAAATGTTTAGCTTTAGTAAGTAAGGCAAAGGTAAAGGGACCCCTGACCACTAGGTCCAGTCGTGGCCGACTCTGGGGTTGCGGCGCTCATCTTGCTTTATTGGCCGAGGGAGCCGGCGTACAGCTTCCGGGTCATGTGGCCAGCATGGCGAACCAGAGCAGTGCACGGAAACGCCGTTTACCTTCCCGCCGGAGCGGTACCTATTTATCTACTTGCACTGGCGTGCTTTCGAACTGCTAGGTTGGCAGGAGCAGGAACCAAGCAACGGGAGCTCACTCCGTCTCGGGGATTCAAACCACCGACCTTCTGATCGGCAACTCCTAGGCTCTGTGGTTTAACCCACAGCACCACCCACGTCCCTAGCTTTAGTAAGTACTAGGATTTAATTAGAACATGTATGTTATAGCTGGGATATGTTGTAAAACAGCCTCAATGTGTATTAGAAAGGGGGTTATGCAAGGGGTTCAAGTTGTCTAATTAGAGTTTATGTGTAAAGACCGTGTGTCAGACTTTGAGAATGTAATAAAGATTCATGTGTATTGGAATGTGTGGACCTACTTCTGAGCATCAGCAATTAGGCTGTGAAGAGTTAATTAACCTAGACAAATATCCTTAGTGTGTTCCAGTCTTTAATCCTAGTCAATCCACAAATGCTGATGAAGTAAGCGGAACTCCTTTGTTAGGTGACACCTGAGGAGATTAACCAGCAGTACCTCAAAGCACCAGGGACGTGGGTGGCGCTTTGGGTTAAACCACAGAGCCTAGGACTTGCCGATCAGAAGGTCAGCGGTTTGAATCCCCGTGACGGGGTGAACTCCTGTTGCTCGGTCCCTGCTCCTGCCAACCTAGCAGTTCGAAAGCACGCCAGTGCAAGTAGATAAATAGGTACCGCTCCGGCGGGAAGGTAAACGGTGTTTCCGTGTGCTGCTCTGGTTCGTCAGAAGCGGCTTAGTCATGCTGGCCACATGCTGTACGCTGGCTCCCTCGGCCAATAAAGCGAGATGAGCACCGCAACCCCAGAGTCGGCCACGACTGGACCTAATGGTCAGGGGTCCCTTTACCTTTACCTCAAAGCACCAACAAAACTGACCATTGGAATGCAACTGAATAAAGGAGGCTGAGTTTTTAGGGACAGCAGAAGTGCTGCACTACTGTGGGCTACAATGACCATGCTGCGAGATCTGGAGTCCCTCCACGCAGAATGAAGGTGTAAATAGGTGAATAAACCATATTACTTAAAGCTACAACTGTCTCCACAGTGCCTGTGTTCTCCAAAGGAACACCCCCCTGGAATCTGGCAGAGAGAGTGGAGGGCGGCACCCAACTTATGTTACAGACACCGTGATGAGTGCAGCCCTAATTTTTGAGCCCAGCTTCCCTTCTGATGTTTCTGTACTGGACACAGACTGTTGCTTTGGTCTGCTCAAGGTATAGACTCCCCTCTCTGACAATTTCTCTCTAAGCAACCACCCAGCTCCACTTAAGTTTCCGACTGTCCATTAAATCGATATTCTACATCCAACTGTGGTAGCAAACAGTTGGAGGTTTCCTGATCTTGTTTCAACGCATCACACCTGCTGCTCTGCGTCTTTGTTATAGCACTGGACTCAAGGCCAAGCTAAACATGAGAGAAGATCCATGACTAAGTCTAAAGACATTGTTTCTTTTTCCAAAAAGCAGATTGAGCTTTGGATTGGAGCCTGATACGGAGTAGGGCTTCTCCCACAAAAGAATGCCCACCTCTGGGGGCGCTAAGCAGCAAGGGTACAGCAGAGATGTAAATGACTATCAGACTTTGTAAAGTTGGTATAACTGGGTCAAGTCCGTCTATTTGGTTGAATTAATTAAGCTAAATAGTTTTAATTGGATTTTGAATAAATGTGCAGTAAATTGTTACTGCTTTGAATTTTATTGTGCTGTTATCTTCCTTAGTGGGTTGTGCAAACCACTATTCTAAATAGGAGGAACTGAGGATGAGTTTATGGAACCAAGGGGGCAGTGGCCCAAAAGATTTTGAAAGCAGTGATTTAACTAGTTGTCATTTGGAGTGACTGTGGCCTTGTTTTCAGACCTTTTCAAAATCCCCTGGCTGGTCACAGGAGTCAGAAACAGAAAGGACCTTGGTCCAATCCTGGAAGGCTCTGATGCTCTCATTGTCACCCTCCCCACACATTTTTCAAGTATTAGATAACTGTCTAAAACTCCATTTATACTATCATTTTAATTGAATACTAACAAATAATAGTTCAGTGAATACAAGATTTAGTGCGACGCATAAAAAAAATAAAGCAACCATAAAATTTGGCACATAAACTTTTTTTATTTTTATTTTATAAAGAGCCCTAAACTCTAGCTGTCATATTTCTCGAATGTCAATTTCTTCTTCCTCACGCGCTAGAAAAAACACACAATAAATTACCATTATTGGTAAACATTTGCATTCAGTCCTGCAAAGCACAGATACTGATAACAAACATAACTCTCCCCTGTCAAAAAACATTCCCATCTTAAAGACGTTATTTATCATGTGTGACTTTTAGAAGGTTTACAAGCAGCATCTGCGGAAGCTAATTTAGGGGAACACCTTCATTCTGACCTCAGGGGCTTTTGGTAGGGAAAAGTAAAACAAATTAGAACTCAGATATTCACAAATGTACTGGATAAAATCAATAGCTTTAATTTTCACATTTAAACCCACAATTTCCCTCTGACAGGATCAGCAGGTTTTAATGGACACAATTTACTTTTACTGTTTTAATTGTTTTTAGTCAATCACTTTTATTGCTTCCCTGCATCTGACTAAACAAATTAATAGAGCCATGTTCAT